TTCAAAGGGTGGAGACCCCCAGTTCCGCTTTCTCGATCTCCAAGATTCCCATTGATGTTGTTTTTTTTACCCCATTATATCCCGATATAAAGATGGGTCAAAACCTACTATCCATAGACAACCATGAAAATCAGCCATGACAAATGGGTACCATTTGGGGGTTTTGACAAAAATAGCACTACAGGCTGGTGCCCAGTTATAAGTTGGTTTATAAACCATTATAACCCCCACGAATACTACAGTTATATCATCTTATGTCTACCATAAACCATAGAATTCAGCCACTTACATCTCAACTTAGGGTTGATGCAACTTAGCTATGGTTGATGGTGGAACATGTTCCACATCTCATGGTAGTCTTCCATATTCCCCAATAGCACTACAGGATGGGCCCCCCCAATTATAAGTTGGTTTATAAACCATTATAATCCCCATTAACTATAGTTATATCTATCATAAACCATTGTTGAGCCACTTATAAACCAACTTAGCTATCTTGGGGGCCTCACATTGTAGAATTCTGGCAGGGGGGACCTCAGGAGATCTTTTGGTCGGTCTTGGAGTCCCTGGATGCTGAGCAGAAGCGCCGCTTTGTGGTCTTCGTCTCGGCCTGTGGCAGGCGTGACGACGACGTTGACCATGGAACCAGGGGAGGAAACCATGGGAAAACCACGGGAAAATATGGGGAAGTAAGAACCATTCCGATTTTATCATCGAAAATTGTGGGACTTAAGCAAGCAACACGGGAATTTCACCATGATAATTGGGCATTTGAGCACGAAAAACTAGGATTCAACATAGTGGAATGGCCCAAGAGTGATACCACTTTGGGACCAGAAAATGGTTGGTCAATTTAGTTGGGGAGCTCCAAGCTTGGACCATGTTGATCAAGCACCCCCTAGTCGGTTAGTTGGGGGGTTCCAATTTCACATCAATTGTAGTTTTTTTTGGTTGGGTGGCCACCCCAGTTCATCAACCAGGGTGGCCCTGAATTTATCAGATTTATCCAGGGGTGGTTGTGGTAAACCATGGTAATCCCAATAATAAACCATCCCCAGTGAAGTGCCATTTGGATCCATTTGGATCCATTTGGTGGGATGAAATTAACCCCTGTGGTCGTGGTAAAAATGGCATTTATGGCATCGGGCACCAACCGAGGCGGCCTCCCGAGGGGTGGCAGCATTTCGAGTTGCAGGTGCAGAGGCGGCCAGTTGGATTTTCCCATGGCCAGTTGGAGGATTTTCCCAAGAAAAACACATGGCCAGATATGGCCAGTTGGGGGTTTTCCTGGCCAAACTGTGATCTTCCAGCCTTAGCACAGAATTCTTCGAGAAGACTTAGATGAAAGCAATCTTGCTGAGTCGGAGACCATGCCAAAGGGAAAGTCATGTCACTCAAAACGATCACTTTGACTTTTCTGTGAGGTATCTAGAGTTCGCCTCAGTTAATACCCGCTTCCAGGAACGGAGATGGAGATGATCGTCTTCCAACGGTGTCTTGACCCAGCTCGATATGAATCTTTTGGGTGAACACATGGGGAGAAAATTCTCCGACAAAAGCAGCAAAACCGACAGGTAACCGATCAGTTTAAATGAATCACTGTCCATGCTTCTTTGGGGCTGAAAAATTCTGGAAAAAAAGTGTGGTATTCAATAAAAATTCCCTCCTGAAGAGCGGAGAGTTCATAGCCAGTATCTATTCAGCCAACCGTAGATCAAATGGGGCACCCACTTGAGATGAGACCCACGGTTTGACCCACCGGAACAAAACGGAACATAACGACATCAGAAACATCCACAACCCTAACCCAACAGTTTCATGTTTCAAGATGTTCCAAGCCAAAAAAAAACAACATTTCTGAACTCATGGGGTAGCACTTTCCAGGGTATAATTACATATAATTGTGGATTCTGCCCGGTATCAGCCGGTCTCGGCCCGAAGTATGGGAAAAAGTTTGTGAGCTGTCACGCTCTTTCAGTGGTAGCGGAGCCACGTCGTTGGCCTTTTTGTAGTGGGTGTTAGACACCTTGGCCTGAGCCTAAAACCATGGCGGTCCCTACTTCGGAGCCGATGGGGGCTATGGGCTTGCTAGATGGAAGCGAGCACTTTGCCCCGAGCACCCCACCAAGTGTCACGGGCGAAGACCTCGTGAGAGAAGAAGACATTCCGATGCCGTCATTTGGCGATGCGACGAGGAGGCGAGCTAGAAGACTGAGGTTTCAAGACTCAGCGGAGTCAGTGGGAGGAGCCTCGGATGTGGGTGCTTCTAGCTCCGGTGGTTCGTATGGAGCCAATGGAGGATGGGGCATGATGGAAGAAGGCTTCCGTGAACAACATGGGAGTCTGGATGGAGGACTTCTTCGTGGCACTGGAGAAGGAAACATGAGCCCAATGCAGGACCCTTGGATGGAGAACGATCCATGGTCGGGAAGGCAACAGCACTGGCAGGTGAATGCAGCGGAGAACTGGTCAGACCTGACCTCCGATAGGCATTCAGCGAGTGGTTCCGACTATGGCTCGTCATGGAGTTGGTCATCATCCAGATGGTCAGCACGAGAGTGGGAGCAATGGCAAAATTGGGATACGTCGTCTTCGGCAAGTCAAGATGACCAGTCGGAAGAAGGCAAGTACTCGAATTGGACATGGAGGTCTTCGACTGGCTACGACGATCCATGGAGGAAGTGGTCGAATTCAGGTGAACTACTTGATGGCCGAGCTCTACCTCGAGATGACCATGGACAAGAACATCGTTTGGAAGAATGTGAACGACCTGATCAACGACCCCAAGGAGATGAAGGAACAGGAGCCACTCCCTTGTCACCTACGTCACCGCAGGCACAGAGATTGAAAGACAAGGACAATCGCCCCATGAGAGAGATTCCCAGTGGGGTTCCGTCAGTGGCTGGAAACAATAGCCAACAGCAGGCGCCAGGAGTGTCAGGCAAGATCAGCTCATCCTATCCGCCGATCTTCAACGCTCGTCCAGGCGAGAGTTGGGAGCAGTACTGGAGGAGCGTGACCTTTTGGGTGGCCTCCGAAGGGAAGTCACTACCTGCGGAAATGCAGGGTCCGAGGCTGATGCAACAGCTGAGAGAGCGAGCAGCCAAGATAGTCCAGCACTTGACGGTGTCGGACGTCTCTGGCAGCGATGGGATCCAGAAGATCAAGGAGGTGATGGAGCGCAGTCCCATCATCAAGCTGTTGGATCAGAAGAAGATCGACCAGAGGAGGCAGAAGTTCATGAGACTGGCAAGGCTGAGCGGTGAATCAATTGAGAGCTTCTTGAATAGAGCAGAGATTTACCGACGGGAAAACCAAACTTCCCCGGCCTACCAGGTGGGTTCGAAGTTCTACATTGGACACCTGCTGGATGCCGCCAAGCTCACGAAGAGGGATTTGGCGCTGATAAAGGCAGCCAGTGGAGGCTCACTGGAAGAGGAGGATGCAGTGACCACTTCACTGATGGACCTGTCTGAACAACTTGAAGGACAAGCAGGATGTCCAATTGGAAAAGGCGAGCCGACGTTGGACCAAGAGGACAAGTACTTGGTACAGAAGGCTACATCGTCTTCTATGGCTTCCCCCTTGCAGAGCGCTACACAGTCTTCGTCCGGTGGTCCTGGTGGTCGACGAGGAAACCGACGGCGATTCTTTGGGAGGAGACGGTTTCGAGATGCATTGCTGGCCATTTTGGAGGATGAGGAGGCGATGGAAGAACCAGCGGAGGAGGACAATTTCATGGCAGAGATCATGGGAGAGGAGTCCATGGACGATGACGAAGACGACATCACTTCGTTTGGCGGATCGACGGCCACACCGACGTTGGAGGCGTCGAATACGTCAACGACTACGTCAACGACATCGTCTTCAGCTTCCTCGCTGCCCGACTTCTCGATGGCCGAGATCTATGCGCAGGAGTACAAAGCTCGAAACCGTGTCAAAGAGATCAAGAAGATGAGGCAATACTTCCAGCGAGAGGCTGGAGGTCAACCTCAGGGAGGACGAGACCGTGAACAGGTCAAGCAGTGGGTTCGAGAACAGCAGAAGACGGAGCCCTGTTTCATTTGCCGGCAGCTGGGTCATTGGTCGCAGGAGTGCCCGTACAGGAACAAGGCACCCATTCATGCCACCAATGTGACCTTTCCCAGCGCTGGCGTCTCAGAAGCCAATTGGGCTTTGCTGCAACACTGCGCGCAGTCCGATGCGAAGTACAAGGGAGCACCACAGGGGGTGGGGGTACGTCATTGTTTGGTCACTTCCCCGTCATCTACATCTGACACTATCGCATGTAATGAGGTCTACTGGTCTATGGCGGAACTAGGAAACAAGATGATAGTGGACTTAGGGTGCATGAAAACAGTTGCAGGAACTACGTGGATCAACCCCATGGTGACCAAATGGAAACAGAATGGATGGTATTGCAAGGTGGTGCCAGAGAAGGAATCTTTTCGTTTTGGTGATGGTCATGTCAATCACAGTCGTTTTGCAGTCATCTTGCACGTCAACATAGCTGGTATCTCATGTTTGCTGCGTATTTCGATTGTTTCGGGAGATTGTCCACCACTTCTGTCCAAGCCAGTTTGCACAGCTTTGGGATTGCTGGTTGACACATCATCTCACACATTGAGTTCTAGCAAGTTCGGAGTCAAGACATATGGATTGCAACAGTCAGCAGGTGGTCATTACGTCGTTCCGATTGATGAGGTCCACAGGTTGCAGGCAGTTCCTTCTGAGTTTCATTTTCCGTCTCATTGCGAAGTGTATCCGTTGAACTTCAGTGGATCAACGGTGAAGACTTCACCACGGTCGCGCCCTCTCGTTCGAACCGTGCACTCCACGTCGGATGGGCGACCAATGGGAAAACGTGGGCATAGCAGACGGGCCAGAGGACATATCCTTGGAGGAGCTGGCACCTCCGCCACCGGCGGGCAGATCGGTGCGTCGTCGAGCATCACGAACGCTGTCAGAGACGAGGAGGCGATCAGGCAGTCCTCCGCCCGAGATCAACCAGAACATGCTGGACCTGCAGGCGCAGATGAACCAGATGGCAGCGATGATGATGCAGCTTCAGGAGACAGCAGCGACGGCGAAAGCCAAAGCGAAGGGCAAGCCCGGGGAGTCTGGGCAGAGTACCACCCGGGCCAAGGGGAACAAGGAGAACAAGCGGGCGGCACTCACAGGCAGAGAAGCGGATTTTCCCACTCTGTCCAACAGGTACAGCTACGACCTCACCTTCAACATTCTCGGCAGCTTGACGGAGCAGACCCTGACCTTCAAGTGGAAGATGATGCTGCTGCAGCTGCGAGTCAAGAAGGCAGTCGAAGCAGACAAGGCTGCCCGCAGGAAATGGAAGAAGAACCCCAGGTGGGTGTTGCACATGCACGGACGCTTCTTGGCCAGTCTGTGGGGACATATCGGGAGCGCACGTCAACTATGCTTCAACCCCAAGATCTATCACCTGGGTTATCCCGAAGAGGAGCCGGCACAGAAGAGGCAGGGATCGAAGGGATCCAATTGACAGACCCGAATGCCCCCACCACCATTGAGCAGAAGAGGAGAGCCATGGAGAGGTGTGAAATCGTTTTGTCCCCTCAGGACAGGGAAAGGATAGAAGGATTGATGATGCCCCCAGCACAACAACGGCAGCTCTTCAGAGAAGGGATTGAGGAGCTACATCAACGTGGAGACCTTTCTGAGGAGCTACGTCAAAGTGGAGACCTTCCTGAGGAGCTACTTCAAAGTGGAGACCTTCTTGAGGAGCCACAACAAAGTGGAGACCTTCCGGAGGAGCTACATCAAAGTGGAGACCTTCCTGAGGAGCCACATCCAAGTGGAGACCTTCCGGAGGAGCCATATCAAGAGAAGGAAGTCCTTCATGGAGAAGCCCAGTCCCAAGGAGGCAAGAAGCGGATCACCCTCAATCGAAGGCAGACCAGGAGCATTCGGCAAGGAGTGCAGAAGGCCTTGAAGGTGCAACAGAGGATATATGCAGCAGCACACATGAAGCAGAGACCGTGGGTGCTGCTGGAGGTGTTTGCTGGGAAGGCCACTCTATCCAGCATGGCGAATGAATCGACGAAGTGGGAGGTGCTGCCCCCTCAGGATGTTCTCTATGGGTTGGACTTGAAGGATGAACAGCACCAGCAATGGCTGAAAGATGTCATTGAAACCCAGAGGCCAGATGTGGTCGTGCTCTCCCCCCCATGCGGCCCTTGGAGTTCTTGGCAGAGGATGAGAAAGAGGAGAGATCTGCTGGAAGCGCTGCGGAGAGAGCATCAACCGTTCTGGGATTTGGTATGCTGGATATGGGCCTTTCAGACCGCGCATGGAGGTCTGGCAGTTCTAGAACAGCCCAAACAGAGTGATGCGTTGCGGATGCCCAAGATGACACAGCGGAAGCAGGTGTACGAGAAGGAGGTGCACATGTGTCAAATGGGCTTGGTGGATAGGGTCTCAGGAGACCCGCACAAAAAGTCCACGGCAGTTCAGATGAACCACCCCGTGATCCTCACAGAGGTCTTTCCCGAAAGGAAATGCGACCATCCACCAGGAGCACACCAGCCCATCGAAGGACATGTGAGGATATGGGATGAGCAGCAACGTCGTTACAGGCAAGTGAGGAGATCGACGTTAGCAGCCGAGTGGACACCTGAGTTCTGTGGATGGCTTCTTGATGGATTGGAAGCAGTTCAGGAGGAAGCAGCCCAGACGTTTCATCTGGAGCTGCATCGGGAAGTACCCATCACGAAGATTTGGGAGGCAGTCCCAGTAGAGCTGGAACCGACGCCTGAAGGACAGCTGAGGCAGCATCTACAACAACAAGAGCATGGCACAAGATACGATTACATCAGCTTCTCGGGTGATGCGGCGATGGTCAACAAGACAATGAGGTCGACTTTGGCACATTTGCACGTGGCATTAGGACATGTCACGAATGACAAGCTGAAGAGGATGATGCTGCTCAATGGAGCGAAACCAGAGCTGGCGTCGATCATCGATCACCTGGAGTGCCAGATTTGCAAGCAGGTAAGGAGTCCTATGGCAACCCCGAAGGCTGCATTTCAGAGACCCATGCAGTTCAACGAGAGGATTGTGGCGGACTCCTTCTACATCTGGGACAGTGAGAACACAAAGTATGCGGTGACGCATGTCTTGGACACCTTCTCTCTGTATCAGATTGCGGTGGCGGCACAAGACCCTTCCTCTGAAGGGACCACAGCGCTGCTGAGAGATCGATGGATTGGTGTCTTTGGGCCCCCGGCAGTCTTGATGACGGACCAGGGCTCCGAATTTCATGGACAATTGGAACCTCTCTTGACAACATTTGGGACGTTCCATGAGATGGTACCACCGACGGCTCATTGGCGCATGTCATTAGCAGAAAGACATGGAGCCGTCCTCAAGGTTCTGCTGATGAAGATCATCAAGGAGCAGTCCATCATCGGCCTACAGCAGCTCCAAATGGCGGTGGTGGCGGCGACAGCAGCCCGAAACAGTCAGGCAAGGATTGCAGGATACTCGCCAACACAGCTAGTGTTTGGCCGAGACACCACCCTGCCGACGAACATGATGGAAGCACTGGCAGGTCACTTTCAATTCCAACTGGCAAGGCCGACTTCACCAGAGGAGTCGTTTTTCCGGGCGAACCAGATCAGAAAAGCCGCGTCCGAAGCTTTCCAGTGGATGGAGGCGAGTGAGGCGCTAAAGAAGGCAGCAGGATCGAGGGCAAGATTGCCGAAGTTGGAGCTGTTGATGGAAGGTTCTCAAGTAATGTTCTGGGAACCACCGGCCCACAGACGAGGCATGTCGAGGAGGTTACAGGACGATGTCTCATGGTTTGGTCCAGCAGTTGTGGCAGCAATAGAGCGAAAGGATGGAGCCATCAAGAGAGTTTGGGTGAGGTACAAGAACAAACTCAAAGGCCTTCCACTGGAGTTTGTCAGGATGGCTGTTGCAGAAGAACATGAGGCAGCAGCCATAGCCAAGGAGGCACTTGAGGACCTCGCCAAACAGCTGGAGCAAGGAAGAGTGAATGCGGAGGTGCCTGAGGAGGAGTCATCGTCATCCTCGAGTTCACTAGAGACAGAGCAGAGGAAGATGAAGAAGAAGAAGGCCCTGTCAGCCAAAGTCACTTTCCGACCAGAGAGGAAAGGGTCACCTCCGGATCCTAGATATCCTATGGTGGAATTCAGTGATGAGGAAGATGAGGGAAAGGATCCAGTTTCTGCCGATCGGGTCCGATCATCAGCGTCGGCTTTGGACGATGTGCCCATGTCCATTCTTACCCGTGGATCCACAGCTGCGACTTCTTCAAGGCCGAGCAAGAAGGCACGTACAAAGGAGGGAGAACGAGCTGACCCTTCAACGCGCCCATTTGTCGAAAGACGTGGATACTTCGACAAGGCCATGAAGAAAACAGAGCAGCACTTCAAGGAGATGAAGCAGAAGCTGGAGCCCAAGACTGTGCAGGTTGCAGTACCCACTCAAGATGACAACCCTGAGATGATTGACATTCAGGTTAGAAATGATGAACCTCCCTACATCAATCTCGAGCGCTTCAAGAACACCGAATACTCGGACTCAGATGCTGAGTTTGGTGAAGCATTGGAGAGGTCCTTGAATGAGGAGATGTTGAAACATCTTCCATTGCAGAGCTTGCAGGAGATGCGAAGACCCCCAGTCTCCCGGTCATGGATGAGGATGGTCAACTGGGAATGTCAATCCTGAAGAACGAGAATGAACCGGTGCTGTACAGGAGGACGGCATACAACAGGTACAGCATTGAGTATCACCCGGCATCCCCGTTGACCAGGACGAGACTGCCCCCGCCACCTGGGAAAGTGATGCATCAGATACCAGAGCAATTGAGGAGACCCCTGACGGCAACACAACAACTGGAGGTGGTGGCGAGGCAGAGAGAGGACCCTGCACCACAGAGAGACTACTGGATGATCAGCCCTGACCGGTCTGAATTGTACAGGGTGCATGTGGTTCCAAGATTCCACCTGTTTGACTGCCTGGCGTACCATCAGGAGGAGTCAGATCACCAACCCTATCTGCTACGCATGCCAGGCGGCGTCAATAGGGAATGGATCACTGGAGCCAGAGCCACTCAGGTGTACTATGTCAACAACCCCTTAGAGCCGAGGAACTATCTAGGGATAGGTCCCTTGCCGCAATCAGCCATGTTCATGCATCCGACCGTAAGCCAGATGAGAATGTCGGAGTTCATTGTGGACAATTTGAAATGGCATGGATGGAACACTCAGCAACATCTGCTGGGTTATTGGCAAGGTATCACCAGATACCAGTTGCAAGACCCGGAGGAGACCGAGTCACACCTGGTGCACTGGCTAGAAGCGAGGCACTTTGCAGAAGAAGCTTGGAGGTCAGGACAACATCTCATGGAGGAGTACAGGGGGATGCAGAAGGAGATGGGGTGGCCAAATGAGACCTTGATGGCCACTCGTGTCGGACCTCTCCAAGAACAGGATACACAGGAGGCGATAGAATCCTTCAAGGTGGCCAAGGATTCAATGCTCACAGTTCAGAATGAGATGTTGGAGACTTTCTTCAACTACATCGAGGCCACGAACATCCGAAGACCAGAGCCGAGGTCGCCGTACAGTGGGCAACTTGAACTTACTCACCTACCAGAGGACAAGATCGACACCACAGTGCCGGAGACGGGCAAAGTGCGGCTAGAATTGAAGTGGAGTGACTTGTCAGCTGTCTGGCAGAAGGCATTCGAGCAGCCAATCAAGGACGCGCTGGACATCTACTTCAAGCATGACGCCCTGGCCCCGGTCTTCCCTGGAGAGACGGTTGATGATTCGGAGATATTGCCCAGCCGATTTGTCTTGGTCAACAAATCGGATCCGCGGAACAACCACCCCAAGGATGCGGATCTACCTGATGCAAAGTTGAAGGCCAGACTTGTCATTGCTGGGCACAAAGATCAACGAGCAGGAGATTTTGAGACTGAGTCACCAACGGCAAGTCTGCTGGCTCACAATCTCCTTTGCTTTTTGGCAGCTCAGTGGGGATGGAAGATGTCTTTCTCAGACATTGCGTCGGCCTTCCTACAGGGCGATTATCTGCCATCTGAACGCAGAGTCTTTGTCCGCTGCCCTACCAACTACCCGATGTTCGTCCGACAATTTCTTACTCAACAACTACCTCCAGGAGCCCGCACAGATTTGATGAGGATGAAAAAGGCTGGGTTCGGATTGGCAGAATCACCACGCTTGTGGTACAAGAAGTTCAAGCGTGGAACCGAATCCATTGGAGGAAGAGAGATGCAACTATGTCCAGGAGTCTTTTCCTTTTTCCAAGGGGGGAGGTTGATTGCTCTCCTTGCAGTACATGTGGATGATGTACGCCTCATTGCTGAGCCAGAGAAGGAGAAAGAAGTCACTGAGCGACTGAACTCGCTCTTCACCTTTGGAGATTGGAACAGGCCGACAGATTGGACGAAGTTTTGTGGAAGATTTGAGAAGCAGTTGGAGGATGGCACGGTTTTGGTGCAGATGGACAACTATTCAGAAAGACTATCAGATTCCCCACAGAGAACCAGAGGAGAAGCACATCCACTGCTGCCCAATGAACGCAAGTGGATCGGCACCATTTGTGGACAGCTGAACTGGATGGCTCGACAATGTAGAGCCGATTTGGCATTCGGGGTATCACGAGTCCAACAACTTGCAGGAGTCGCGGATCCAGCAGCTTTGACCGAGCTGCGGGTGCTGGTGGAACGGGCCAGGATGCCTGTGACCGTGAAATTCACAGCGCTGGGATGCGACATCAAAGACATGGTGGTGATATACACCTCGGATGCTTCTTTCGCAGGCATGCCCAGAGGCCGATCTGGTGGATTTGCGGTGGGATTTGCCAACCCCGAGATCCTGGCCGGATCGGCCCCCATCAATGTTGTGCACTACCACTCGGGGCTCTTGAAACGGGTGGTTAGATCATCCTTGGCTGCAGAGATCAGTCAGGCCGCGCATACGCTGGAGGAGGGAGACTTCATCAGGGCGCTTTTGGCCGAGATGATCTACGAAGGGTTCAGCCTAAAGATGTGGCTGACACATGTGGCTCGATGGAAGCTGGTGCTGGTCTTGGACTCCCGTACGGGATACGACCTTCTCAACGGCACCGGCTTGGGGGAGGACAAGAGGCTGGCGATTGACATTGCCGCTATGAGGCAATCGCTGCATGAGGATGGAGCAGCGAGGTTGGTGAGGTGGGTCCCTGGAGAGGAGATCATTGCGGACGACCTCACCAAACTCTGTGGCAATCAGAAGCTGATGACGGTCCTCTCCACGTCCAGATGGGCCCTGAAGGACACCGAGGTGGCCAAGAGACTTCGTGCTGACGCCGCAGCAAGGAAGCGGACGTATAGGCAGAAGGTATCTGCCGACAGAAACGCCGCTGAAAGCAGCAGGCAGCGCTAGCTCCAAAGGGGGTTAGTGTGGATTCTGCCCGGTATCAGCCGGTCTCGGCCCGAAGTATGGGAAAAAGTTTGTGAGCTGTCACGCTCTTTCAGTATAATTACCCTCTGGTAATTTAACATAGCTATCGAAAATGGCTATCTATAGTGGATTTTCCCATTAAAAATGGTGATTTCCCCATAGTTATGTTAAATTACCAGAGGATAGTTATGTTAGTTTACCAGGGATTTATAATAACCATGATTTTTGGATCCTTATTATGGATGGGATGACCATCAACCATTTTTTGTGAGTAGGCCGACCATGGCTCATATCATTACCACAAGTTTTTCCCAGGCCTACACCTGCTTCACCTTGCTGCTTCTTCCCCGCTACTCCTCCGGAGAGCTGCTGCGGCATCGACTCCTGGCGGCCATCACTGAGACGGAGGTGCCCGGGGCTAAATGATCGGTGGAAATTCCATGGGGTTCCTAAAATGGTGGTTTAATGGTGGTTTAATGGTGGTTTAATGGTGGTTTGATGGGATTTAATGGTGGTTTAATGGGATTTGATGGGATTTGATGGGAATATACCCTCTGGTAAACGTTTACATAGCTATGGAAAGATCCACCCATTTTTCATGGGTAAAGCCACTATTTCTATGGTCATTTTCAATAGCGAACTGTTAGTTTACCAGAGGGTACCCCGATTTATCCATTTTTTAATGGTATGAAAAAACCATAGAAAAATTGATGAAAAAACCCTAAATACATTAAATACCATGGTATTTAAGCATGAAATAAACCATTCACTTTTTGGTCATGGCCAATTATACAACCATCCAATGGAATGACCATAGGTTGTATCACTGGTGAAAACTGGGTTTATTATGATTGCAAAACCATCAATCCCTATAACTTGGTTAACTGTTGATTGTTGATGCTTTAAAAACTGGGGGATGTTTATCCCAATTTGAGACGACGAATTGGGAATTTTTCAGAATGAATTTGATGAACTTGAGGATTTTCGACATTTGTCCGTGGACGAAATCTGATAAGTTGATAGCAACTACTGTCCCAGCAACATATTGACTTGCAGTTTGATGTGTTTGGAAATTTGATGATTTCTATGGAATGGAATTCTGTGTAGAGGTCAGTTTTTCGGAATGTCGCGTTCCAAAAAATGTACTTTCAACATCTTTCAACCACATGGACTATCTGGAATTATTGCGCTAAACCCAATCAGAAAGCTCCAGCTCCCATTTGGGGATGGTCCCAATGGTGTTTGCAGTTAGTTTCAACCACCGATTGATGGAGATTTTGGGGGAGTGTGAGCAACCATAGAACCATGGATTTCTTTGTGGAACCAAAAAAATGGCAGAGGGAGCTGCGGATTTCTGACACTTGCAGCGGCAGAATTGATCGAAGAAAAGTCTGTTGGTTTCGCATGGTTTCGCCTGGAAAATCTGAGGTCAAGACATGTCAACAAAAAATCTATATTACTTATATCACGATTATATCACACTTTACCATCTTTTTCTGTCTATTTCTTGGGTTTTTTTCCCACAAGTCGATGAATTGACCGATCCACCCCCTTCGGATGGTTCCAGTGGTTCCAGTCCGCAGGGCTTTGGTCTCAGCTGAGCCGCAAAAATGTAGGATTCCTTCAGTGGCGCAATGGTCAGTGCAAAAAATCGATGGCTGTGGGTGAACAGAAATCGGGGTTGCTCCACCAGAGAAGATTCATAATATACCTTCAACATCCTTCAACTATAGCAAATCTAGCAACATCTACCCATTTCAGTTAAGTGTTAGTTCAAGTTACTTCCCCCTCAAGACCTTTTTTTTTTTCGGTGCGGAGACCGCCGCAGAACTGGCACTTGCCGCCGATGTCATGTTTAGCCAATGAGACGACTCGCCGCAACAGGGCACCGAAAACAAAAAGGCCGCCTTGAGTTGCGCGAGCCTGATGAGTTTTGAGGGGATTTGAGTTCCAAATCCCATGGGTCCGAAATTGATGGTAAAATGCCCCTTTTTTTGGATATTTGACGGATTTTTTTTGGGGTCAAACTGAGTTGCGGTTGGAGTGCATGGAGGAAACTGGACATTGTCAATATCCGGAGCTTCCAAATGAATGAGATGGATGCAGGGTTTTAATGATCTGACTTGCGCATCAATTCAGATTCTTTCGGAACAAATATGTCTTCCGAAAACATCCGAAGACTGAGAAAACTGATATCGGGGCACCCTTCAAAAGTGTTGGAGATGGTTCAAGAATGTCAATAATGAGTCTCATTGAGCCAGGCTAGATCAAGGTTGGTGATCAGGGGTCGATACTATTGGAATCTCGTCCTAGAGAGTAGATAATTGGTGGGCCAAAAGTTCCGGGGACCACAGATTTTGGTGATGTTGAATGAGTATTTCGAACACTCAAATTTTGTGAATTTGCGGAACACCCAACAATCAGACCCAATTTACCCCAAGCCTACCATCTGGGGCGATTTTGACATACGAAAAAACATGGAGGGTTGACTCAGGTCGAGCAATTGACGAGGCGACCGATGGGGTGCCACGAGCTGATGCATGCGACAGTCTGCTGATACAATCTGATAATTCATAAGTGATTATCAGTAGTTAAAAACATACAAATACATATGGATGTGGGTCAAAATGGAAGACCTAGGGGACCACAGATGTTAGTCTAGTTTAGTATTAACCATCCAGTTATTGGGGTACCTAATTTTGACCCATACCCATATAGTTACCCCTAAAAAGAGAAAAAAAGGTTCAACATCCCACTAAAAAGTGGTAAATTACTTTTGTATGTGTTTGGGGTCTGCAAAAAACACAGATTATACCAATGCCACTGTCATTACTCTCTCTCTCTCTCTCTGCCTCTAAGCGCGTAATCCAATATATTCCACCCGGCTTTCTCAGGTGGCATTGATTTTTCATGTTTCAGATTGGTAAATCATTTAAAAATAATCTCCATAACCCAGTGTGGTTGGTTTCAGATCCCAATTTTTATTGATCAATGATGGTTGATTCAAAATATATATTTTAATGACATTCAATATGATATACCAATGGTATCCCCAATTTTCTATCCCCAGTCAAATTCAATTCTTCGAATTGGCGAATTATTCAACTGGATAGTGAACCAATATTACTCTCCAGTCATTTTTTACATCGACCCTGGCATAGAAAATTTGGTTATCCGGGTGAGGCGCGGGCTCCTCATGCGCGCTTTCAGCTGCACTACGACTCGGTCCTGGCGAAGGTGGGGAAGAAGATGGGCGTTTCCAGAAAAACATGGCTGTTGAAGCAACAAAAGATGCTAATTAGATCTATTGGATCTAGATATATCTAGATCATTGATGGTTAATATGTTAATATCAATATTGATGGTTGGATCATGCTACTCCGCTATAGGGTAGAACTACCATAAGATGTGGAAAATCAAGCGTCTGACGATTTTTCGAAAAAACCCATGGGTTTTCCACATCTTTTTGGGTTGGTTGGATTCCACGCCAGGTGAAGAGGACGAGTTGTTCCCTACATCTCGGGATTGATGGTTGAATCCCTCGCTGGTCAAGTCCCAACTTTTTCATCAAATCTCCAACGTTTTGCTGGGCTTTCCTAGTAAAAAATGGGGGTCATGTAAATTTTCCCAACAACACCTATTGATTTTCCATAGATTGTCGTTTCATTCCCCAGTGATTGATGTCTGAACCGAAATTTCGTTGCTAAAATCCGAACTCAATGGCTATTTTCGTCAAGAGGCACCCAAATGGTACCCATCCAGTCATAGCTGGTGCTGGATGTTGATTCCCCCCAAAAATAGGTCTTGACCCCCCAAATGGTGAATCATTGATCCTGAATGAAAATGATGGGGTGATTTATGGACAAAAACCATCAAAAACCATTGAAAAACCACAGGGATCACGGGATCATCCGGACGATTCTTCGTGTCGAAATCCCCCATCCGGCCCACGTTGCCTTGTTCAGGTGGCCGGCCACGCCTCGGCGGACTTTGTGGTCTTTGCGGAAGCGCAGGGGACGGGCGACCAGGCGAGAGGGACATTCAGACAGTGAGGTGGTTTAATGATTGGCAATACTAGTAGGGATACCCTCTGGTAAACTAACATAACTATGGAAAGATCCACCATTTTGAATGGGTAATTCCACTATTTCTATGGCAATTTTCAATAGCTATGTTAGTTTACCAAAGGGTATCAAGATTGTTGGGATTCCTCTATTTAATATTATTTAATGATATTACGTATTGTTCATCCAATATTGTAGGGATATAATGATATAATACAAGCATATTGATGAATGGGGGTTTAAGTATTCTTGGCCAAAAGTGTGGTGAGAACAAGGGGGCTTTTATCCAGAAGATGGATCAAAAATGGGATTTCTATCTCCGAATGATTCAACGAATAAATCGGGATTTTGTAAAATCTGGGACATATAAAGGGACTGTATACTTGTTGTACAGCAAGGCTCCAAAAATAGCAACGTTAAACTTGACAGTCCTTAATGCTGCGCATTCCTGGATCAAACCTGTCAGATCCATTCTTCAGAAGCCATGGCATGGCTCAACTTTGGATTTACCCCTTTGGTTATTTAACAAAGCTATGGAAGCCATGGCCCATCGATAGATGATAAACATGATTATTTACGAACCTATTAAACATGAGCATTTTCCATAGCTATGTGAAATGGCCAGAGGGTAAGTGCCAGTTTTTCTTAGTGAAATCCCATTTCGATCACCTCAGAATGCCCTGAAAATTGGTCGAGGACATCGGACAATACCCCACATTTGATGCCAAAGAGCAGGCTTTCTCCCAACATTTATCACATTTGATGGCTAAGCAACTAGGGTTTCTCAATTTTTTTTGGCGCAAGACATGCCAAAACGCAGGGTTTTCTCCACTGTTTCACGAGTAAAACCGTGAAAAACGGTGGTCGAGTTGTTCATCGAGGCCATGTTGCTCCACAACACGCGGATCCAGCCCGAGT